ACTACCCAGGCCCCAAACTGGGGGTCCACTCCAATATCTCTCCCATCTATAAACTGCTAGAGAACATGAAGGGACCAGCCCTGCATACCCCAAACTGCAAAACAGAACAATCAAGAGCAGTTCCAGTGAGGACCCAGCATCATAATGACTCTTTGCAATGAACACTTTCAAGTAAAGATACACGGATAAAAGGGTTGACTGCGCGATTAGCTGTGCCATACCGTAGCTTCCATGAAGAGACTGTTTTTTTTTTCTCTGATTTCTTTTTTCTCTTAAATTTTATTTTATTTGGGTGGGGGTTGCAAGGACAGAGGGTGACTATTAAGGGACAGGGAAATAAATGAGATTGAGATGCATGATATAAAAAACATAAGGAATAAATTTAAAAGAAAGTTAAAAAAGAAAGAGAATTACAAGCTGATTTTCCTTGTGAATACAGATGCAAAAATACTCTAAAATTTTGCAAACTGAATTCAAGGATACATCGAAAGTATCATCTACCTTGATCAAGTAGGTTTCATCTTGAGATGCGGGGATCATACTACATATGAAAATCAATAAATGTAATCCACCATATAAAGTAAACTGAATGACAAAAACCACATGATCATCTCATTAGATGCATAAAAGGCCTTTAACAAAATCCAATGCCCCCTCATGATAAAGGTCCTGGAGAGATTAGGGATATAAGGGGAATGATAAAGCAGTTTACAGAAAGCCCATAGCCAACATCAACTTAAATGGAAAGAAACACAAAGCAACTGCACTAAAATCAGGAACAAGACAAGTTTGCCCATTCTCTCCCACAACTGCTCAATATAGTACTTGAAATCTTAGCTAGAGCAATAATACAGCTTATGCTTTAGAGGATGTGGGGTAAAGGGAACACTCCTCCATTGCTGGTGGAAGTGCACACTGGTGCAGCCACTGTGGAAATCAGTACAGTTATTTCTCAGAAAATTGGGAAACAACCTTTCTCAAGACCGAGCAATACCACTTTTGGGTGCATATACCCATAAGATTTTTAATCATACCACAAGGACATGTGCTCAACTATGTTCATAGCAGCCTTATTTGTTATAGCCAGAACCTGGAAACAACCTAGATGCTCCTTGACCAAAGAATGGATAAAGAAAATGTGGTACATTTATGCAATGGAGTACTTACTACACAGTAGAGAAAAACAATGACATCTTGAAATTTGCAGACAAATAGATGGATCTGGAAAACATCATATCGAGTGAGGCAACCCAGGCTCAGAAAGACAAATATCACATGTACTCACTCATAAGTGGCTTTTAGACATAAAGCAAGGAAACACCAACCTACAATTCACAACCCCAGAGAACCTAGACAACAAAGAGGACCCTAAGAGAGACATACATGGGAAGTAGAAAAAGACAAGATCTCCTGAGTAAATTGGGAGTGTGGAGATTATGGGAGAGGGAAGAGGGAAAGTGTGGAGGAAGGGAGGGGAGCAGAGAAAAATATACAGCTCAATAAAAACAATACAAAAGACAGCTGAATGAGATCAAGGGAATACAAATTGGAAGAAGTCAAAGTATCCTTATTTGCAGATGATGATATAATAGTATACATAAGTGACCCAAAAATTTCTACCAGGAAACTTCTATAGCTGATAAACACGTCCAGCAAAGCTGCTGCATAAACTATTAACTCACAAATATCAGTAGCCTTTCTATATACAAATAACAAACAGACTGAGAAATCAATCAGGGAAACAACACTTTTCACAATAACATTATATAATATAAAATACGCTGGGGTCACTCTAACCAAGCTAGTGAAAGACTTACATGATAAAACATCAAGTCAATAAAGAAATTGAAGAAGATATCAGAAGATGGAAAGATCTCCAATGGGCATGGATTGGTAGGATTAATATATCAAAAATGGCCATTCTACCAAAAAAATCTATATATTCAATGCAATATTTATTAAAATTTCAACATAATTCTTCACAGATCTTGGAAGAACAATTCTCAGCTTGATATGTAAACACACACACACACACACACACACACACACACACACACACAAAGCAGAATAACTAAAATAATCCCGAATAACAGAACTGCTGGAGGAGTCACCATGCCTGACCTCAAATGGTACTAAGGCATAATAGTAATAAAAACAGCATGGTATTGGCACATAAACAGACATGTTAATCGATGGAATCAAGTTGAAATCCCATACATAAATCCACACACGTATGGCACCTGATTTTTGATAATGAAGCCAGAAATACACTGGACAAAAGATAACATCTTCAGCCGTTGATGCTGACTAAACTGATGACTCCATGTAGAAGAATCCAAATAGATCCATATCTATTACCCTGTACAATATTTAACTCCAAATGGATCTATGATAAATCATAAAATCAGATACTGAACCCTATAGAAGAGAACATAGGGATTAGCCTTTAATCATTGGCACAGGATAAGACTTTTCTGAACAAAACATCGTTAGCAGAGGCACTAAGATCAACAATTAATAAATGCGACCTCCTAAAACTGAAAAGCTTCTGTGAGACAAAGGACACCATCATTCAGATAAAGCAGCAGTCTACAGAATGGGAAAAGATTTTTACCAACTACATATCTGAGAGAAGGCTAAATATCCAAAATATATAAAGAACTCACAGAACTAGGTATCAAGAAAAGAAATAATCCAATTAATAAATGGGGTACATATTTAAACAGATTTCCCCATCAGATTTCTCAGATGATTGAGAAACACTTAAAGGCATGCTCAGCATCTTTAGTCCCCAGGGATATGCAAATTCAAATACTTTAAGAGCCCATCTTACACCCATAAGAATGACTAAAATCAGTAAAACAAGTGACAGCTCATGCTGGCAAGAAATGGAAGAAGGGGAACATTCAACATTGCTGGTAGGTGTGCAAACTTGTACAGCCGCTGTGGAAATCAGCACGGCTATCCCACTATTGGGCATAAACCCAAAGAACATGTCATCCTCCACAAGAACATTTGCGTGACCACATTCATTGTTGCTTTAGTCAGAATAACTAGAAACTGGAAACAACCTAGATGTCTCCCAACAGATGGATAGACAAAGAAAATATGGCACATTTACACAGTGGAGTATTACTCAGCTGTTTACAAAAAAAATGAAATCATGTAATTTGCAGGGAAGTTGATGGAAAAATCATCCTGAGTGAGATAACCCAGAACTACAAAGACAAATATGATATCATTCATTTATATGTGGATAGTAACTGTTCAGTCAATGATAACCAAGCTACAATTTTTAGAACCATAGAGGTTAGGTGTAGAGTAAGTGAGTCGGGGCAGAGAGGCCTCTCTTGGAAAAGGAAATAGGAAAAATAGATATGGATGAATGTGTCGGGGGGTACTAGAACATGAGGATCAAGTGGAGAAGGGGCAGAAAGAGGAGACACATAGGGAGAGACAGCTAAAATTAAGGACTATTTGAGCGGTAGTAAGGAACGCAGTGCAGGAGAAGCCTCCTAAAATGCATACGTATATAAAGGCGACCTAAATAGAATCACCAAATAATGAAGGAGACAGGTACCAGTTGGATATCTCTTGTCACCAAATGAGGCTTCTGGGATTGGGTTAAGTCTAATTGAGTTGTTGACCAAAGGGGTCCCATTGGGAACCCCCCAAACAGCTCAGACTGTTGCCAAGACTACAAATTTTTTCTCTACAAACTGATAAAACTGGCAGCAAAGCCCCACTGATGAAAACAAAAGCTAAACACCTCACTGAACACGGAGAAGTTGAGTTGATGCCTACATGGAACCTTTACTCTATGTGCTAGCATTGATACAGGAAGGTACTAACACACTATGAAAGGAAAAATGTAAGCATCAATACAGCCAAAAGCCCTTTGATCTGAAATGCTGTCCTGCCTGCAAGATATGCTAGGACAGTTGTGGTGCAGAGCTTGTGGGAGTAACCGAGCAATACTCTTTAATTTAGGTTCGCTCCCCAAGTTTGAAACCATAAAACAGTGACCAAAAGCGACGTGGGAGGAGGAAGGATTTATTTAGCTTGTGGGTTGTCGTACATTTATTCCCTGATATTGTTTGTGTGACTAGGACCTGAGACTGGATAGTTCAGGAATCTAGGATAAAATCAAATACTACTTTTCTTTTAAAGTATCAATAAAATGACTTCTAATGACATTCTGATATACACATAGATCAGTGCCTTGATGAACAATTATCATAGAAGCTTCCTCCTGTAGCAGATGGGAACAAATACAGAGCCACAGCCAGATATTATGCAAAGGATAAGAGACCTTGGAACACCCAACCCTAAAGGGATATCTCCATCAAAGTCCTCCCCTCAGGACTCAGGGAACCCCAAGGAAGGGGAGGTGGAGAGAGTGTAAGAGCCAGCATGAATGGAAGACACTAAAGAAACAAGGTCCTGTAAATCAACAAGATAGGTGCACAGAGGGACTCGGAGGCTGACAGCATGCACAGGGCCTGCCCAGGTCTGCACCAGATGGAGCCCTAGAGCTGAAAGGAGAAACGGACACATGTCTCCATCCCTAACCCAGAAACAATCTCTAGTTGACAACCACTTGTAACTGAAAATGTTTATTCCAAGGGTGTCTCATTGTGGAAACAAAATACTCCTGAAGGTGGGCTGCATCCCCAGCAGCTGATGGCCAACTAAAAATGAACTCAAAAGCATCTTTGAAAGTTCCCCGTCTTACAACGTTGTGTCAGGACTTTTCCTTTTTATTATTTTTTTTAAAAAAATGTCTTATTTTTTTAATTTTTAGCTAATGGAATGAAGACAGATGCTAAAAAGAAATCCCACAATAGCTCAAAATTTACTATAATAAAAAGTTATTTATTTAGGGGTAGACTCACAGATCACAGTCCTCTGCCCTAACAGGGAACAGGAAGTGAATCACAAGCTCAGTGCTTACATCAGCACTTACAGTATAAGAGGCCACGCCCAAATGGGTGGATAACTTAAAGGCTACTGGCTGTAGGAATTCCTACAGCAATTGAATTTATTTTTCTTTTCTCTTTTTACTCTACAGGGTCTTTCCACATACATTATGGCTTTCGGCTTAGTGTTCTTGTGGGATTCCTGGGTGTGTCAGCAAGCGGAGCTCTGTTTGGTGAGCTTCCTCTTGGGTTCCTCTTCTGCTTGTTTGTTTCATCCTATTCCAGTGTGTCACTCATGGCTTTATCTTACTGTATTCTGTTTTATTTCATTATTGTCCCCTAGAAGCCTGCTTATTTCATAATGAGACACAGAAAAGGAGTGGGTCTGGATAGGAGGGGAAAGGGGGGAGCTGGGAGGGGCAGATGGAGGAAAACCATAGACAGGATATATTATGTGAGAAAAACTATTCTCAATCAAAGACCTTTGTTACATAATTTTTACATGCTTTTCTTTTGTGTATAGGTATGCCTGTGTGTACATTTATTCATGTGTGTGCATGTGTATGTGTTCGAGTGACACTTGTGTGCGTGTGACTATGTACCTAGGATAGTATACTGGAGAATAGCCGTAGGGAAATTTCTCAAGAGTTGTTATGCTGGCTAGTTTTCGTCAGCTTGCCATGACTGCCGTCCCTTGAGAAGAAGGAACCTCAATCAAGGAACTGCTTCCATTACACTGACTTGTGGTTATGGGGGGGGGGTTTCTTGATTGATGCTTGTACCAGAATCCAGCCCACCATAGGTAGAGGTGGTCCTGGGTGCTCTAAGACAGCAGGCTGAGCAAGTTGTAAGCAGCTTCCCTCCATGGCCTCTACTTCCATCCGTCTCCAGGGTCACACCTTGAGTTCCTGTCATGGCTTCCCTTGATGATGTACGATAACCCATAAGCTAAATAACTCCTTCCCCCTCCCAAGTTGCTTCCGGTCACTGTTTGATCACACAACACAAACTAGGACAACTGTCTACCTTGTTTTGTTTCTCGATACAGTGTCTCTCAGTGGGCTGGGGGCTCACAAAGGAGGCTGGAATCAGTGGGCGGCAAATTCCAGGAACCCACCTGTCTTAGTTTCCCATTTGTAGCTGTGGCAATACACTCCAGCAGAAGGTCACCTCGGCGAGAAAGGGCTTGCTTCAACTCACTATTACAAGCTACAGTTCATCATGGCTGAGAAGTCAAGGCGGCAGGGATTTGAAGCAATTTGGCACATGTGCAATCAGAGTCAAAAGAGGATGGATACGCACACGCCTGCAATCAGCTCAATTTCTCTACACTCATACTGCTCAGGAGCCCAACCCAGGAAACGGTGCTGCCCCCTTTCAGTCTGTGTCTTCCCACATCAGTTAATGCAATCAAGAAAGATAGTTCTCCACAGATGTGCCCAGGGGCCAACCTGATCTAAATAACCCTTATTGCAACTCTCCCAAGATTCCAGATAGCATCACGATGGCAATTAAAACCAGAAACCAGACCTCTTGTCTCTGCTTCCTCTGGGATTGAAAGCATAAGCCACAGAGCCTGGAGTTTTATGTAGGTTCTGCAAGACTAAATTCAGACTCAGGGCTGCATACAAGCACTTTACTGACAGAGCAATCTCTCCAACCCATTTAAACATATTTCTGTGCCAAAGAAATAAGCCAGGTAAGTAATCAATACAGATTTTAAATGGCAAAAAATTATTGAAATAAATTTTATATTGGAAACGAATGGAAACACAGTTAGAAAGTTATTAAATTTCTCACACCTTGAGAAAAGAATCTATTTTGAATAGATGATAGTCATTATCAAACCTCCCTTTGGGTTTACATTCCAAAAAAACTTATCTCAAAGCATAATGAAAGCTTTTTATCTCGAAATGTCAACAATTACATTATGCAGGAAATCCTGTCTTTTGTAGTTATTTAAATTTTGAAGAGAAAACTTTAATGTCATCTTTAAAATGTGCAAAGGGTAACAGTTTTCCAAATTTCTTTAGGGTATAGATTAATACAATTGGAATTCAGTTGCCAGTTTCAGGGCACTGAAAGAAGAAAACCATCACTGCCAAAGTACCTGGTTAAGGAAGAAACCTAGAATTTCCCAACCAATCATTTACTTTCATATGTTCAATGTACAAATCGTATACATTATTTTAAGTCAAAGAAAATCCTGGATTCTGTTACTCTCCTCTCCTCTCCTCTCCTCTCCTCTCCTCTCCTCTCCTCTCCTCGCCTCTCCTCCCCCCCCTCCCCCTCCCCCTCCCCCTCCCCCTCTCTCTCTCTCTCTCTCTCTCTCTCTCTCTCTCCTCTCAATGAGAGGGGAAATTCAGGACCTTATAGTGTTACAGTGTTAGCTTGAATGGTTCCCACAGGCTCATATATTTGAATACTTGGTCCTCTGTTTAAGGATTAGGAGACGTGCCCTGGCTAGAGGAGGAACGTGATCAGAGATGGGGTTTGAGGTTTCAAAAACCCACACCTTTCCAAGTGTCCCTCTCTTTCTTTCTTCGCTACCAACATTCAGATCAAGACGTGAGTGTTCAGCCAATCTTGAAGACATGCGGCTGTATACGTATACCACGGTACACGCCCAACATGTATTATCCTGCTCAGGGACAGAACACGGAATGTGTGCTTAGTTCTTCTTAGAAATATTTATTTTAATCTTACTTAATATGCAGAAAATTTAGCACGTTTCCCCCGCCCCTGATTGGAGAATGTTCCACAGGGACTGGCTCCTTGCTTGCCTGGCCTGTTCTAACTAAGGGACGATGGCTTGCCACACGGAAACCTGGGGCTCTAGTTTCCTTCTTGGCCTCCATGCCCCTTTCTTAGGCATCTATGGAATGGGAGGCGAATGAGGCAGGAAGCCTGAACAAGGGAGCTGGGGCCTTTCCAGTGGCTGAGGCCGTCCGCTGGTCCCAGTGCTGGTGCTGTCTGCTTTGAAAACACTTCAGTGATGCCATAGCCCCAGTCTTGTCTATACATAGTACAAGCGTGTGCCGTCGTGGGGGAGTAGTCGACTGAATTCTGATCTGCCCTGGGGCATTGGCACAGCTGGTATATAAACAGCTGGCATATAAAGTCATAGCCAATTGAATTCCCTCTAAACAAAGGCCTTAAGAGGCAGCCTGTGGTCCCTTACATTTCAAATGCACAAGACACTTTGAGAACTGGAAAACTGGGATTCTTTTCCTTTTATTTATTGATTGATTTTTTTTACTTTCCTTTTCAATCGACTTTACCTTTTAGTGCAGTTTCGGGTTCACACACAATACTTTCCACCCTTTTACTGTACCCACTGGCTGGCAGCCAACTTCCTTTCTCTCATCGTCTTTCAATATATTCACCGCTGACAGACTCGCTGAGGAATGGTGTGCGGCCCACATTGCTAAGAAGGAAGGAAAGGAAAGGAAATTAAACTAGATACCAAATGGGATGAGTGCTGAGGAATTTGCACAGGGATGGCGTTTCATGCTCGAGGCAAACAAAACCCTCAGAGCCTGAGGTGCCCACACTGGTGATGGGAAGCACAGGCCCCTTTAGGCCCTCAGGCATTAGTGGTGACACCTGAGGGCATGGAGAAGCACCAGCTGGCACCGTTGGCAGTGCTGAGGTCAGGATGTGAGGTCAGTGTCAGTGAAGTGTCACAATTAGCACCCACCTGGCATGGAGCTTCTAAGTCCTGAGCTGGAGCTATGTGGCTAAGCCTTGAGTCTAAGCCTTGGAGGTGGGAAACAGCTCCTCTCCAGCCCACAGTTATTCCTTCATCAGCAAATATACTTGCATTCCTTTCGTCTGTCTCTCAGAGAGAGAGAGAGAGAGAGAGAGAGAGAGAGAGAGAGAGAGAGAGAGCCTGTGCAGGGGCTGGAAGTGTTTTCCTCTATGACTCCTTATCTCGCTCCCTGGAGACAAGGTCTCTTGCTGAACCTGAAGTCATATTAGTGGTCAGCACGACCCACTGACCTTCCTGTCCCACCCACTTACACACCACATAGTGCTAGGGTTACAAACACATGGGGCTGTACTTGACTTTTTCATGTAAGTACTGAGGATTTGAACTCACATCTTGTGCTCTTACCTACTGAGCAATCTCTCCAGTCTAAGTGTTGATTCTTTCTAAAACCTTCCAGGATTCTATAAAGATGAGAGGAGATGATGCCCTGACCCTAAGCTCTTCTCTGAAATCTTACATTCTGTGCTGAGCCAATTCTTCCTCTCCAGCCTTTCCTCCTGGGTTGATTCGATGGCTAAGTTGTTAGATGGATTGCTTGCAGAAGAATCAGAGTCCTGGGGACCTTGTCTAGAACAGGATTCAGAATACAGTTTGGGTGAGTATTGGTGCTATGTAGGAACTTGCCCCTACTACACTGCAGTCAAATCCGAGTTACTGGAATCGAGGACACGCTGTCACCAAGCCTTGGCAGACGGCCAGGTGCTCAGAGGCTGAGTGCAGAGGCTATGAAGGTGTTGTAACGTCACAGGCTTGTCTCAGAGAAACTCACCTCATGTGGCGTGGTCTGGGGTGTAGCTCAGTGGTACAGCCATTGCCACATTCTGGGCTCATTCTTAGGACTGAAAAGAGAAACACGAAATAAAATCATGCGGAAGATATTGTATCTAGTGTGTTTAGCCTAAATGAGACAAGAATTTGATACTTTGGCCAAATTTTTCTGTAAAAACCACAATGTTTTGTAAAAGAAGAAACACTTTTGAGTGGGAGGAAAGCTAACCATCACAATCTGTAATGAAGGTCAACGGTGCAGCGCGGAGTTTTGGTGGAATCAGCAGAGGGTGTTCCCCACTCAGCCTGGCTCAGGTTCACGTTTCAGTCTTCCAAATGAAAGCCTCGCCCAGCAACGAGGTTCACCGAGGATCATATCAAGACTTGGCTCCCGACCCTGAGGCCCCTTTAGCATGGTCAGTGCTTGGAAAGGCTCTAAAAATTGCAAGGAACATTTTCCCAATGAATCATAATCTGGTGGGTAGGAAGAGAAATCAGTCAAGTTAGATCAGCTTCTCCTTGGGCCATTTGGACTATTCAGATAAGGACATATTGTGGCCACGGTCCACGCTGAGGACTTTTTGTTTTGTTTTAATTCCTTACTTGAATTTGTTCTTGGGGCAGGAAGTGAATGTCTGCAAAGATAAATGAAAAAGAGAATTGGTTTCAACACATAGGCTTGGATACATTTTCTTAGTGATTGGTCCTGGGATTCTGCCCTTTGGCCATAAATCCGACTAAGCGAGCAATGTCCAAATTCTTCAGCTAGAAGTGCCTGGATCCTCTCTGTGAGTACTGATGGCAGAAGTCAGTTAGCTCGGAAGCACCTCTCAGACTGGGAATCAGAACATTCAAGCACAATGAATTATAAACAGACCCTGTGAAGTTCAAATTCAGGCTGTCTGTGTCTGTAGTTTGTGAAATACATATTCCTCACAGCTCATCAAAGTCAGCCCAGAAGCAGCCACCATCACACTGTTTTTACTGGGCTTGTTTAGGATCATTGTTTGGCTCAGTCCAAGCCACCAGGACAACTGCTTCTATGCTTACAAGTTTCTAGTGGAGAGATAGCCCCTCCCCACGGTGACAATTCAGGATAACATCTGGGCTGACACTTACCTTCGCACCGTGGTCATCAAGCAGGCTCAGGGGTTCAGAAGTAGAATGGAATTTAAGCACAGACTCACACATTTTTTTCATGCATCTTTAAAAACTCCTACGTGCAGGACAAACATTGTTTTTGACAAGCACTGCTTCTCTGTGTTCCAAATCAGGTTTATTTTATGATGGCCATGCTTCCTGGCCAGGTCTGTGTCTGAGACAGTTAGGAAAGATCTTCTACAGAGGTTCCAGAGGAGTCCATTATATAAAAAGCTTCAAAAAGACTGGTCAAGAGAAAGATGGACACACTACATGCCTGTAGGGACTCCTTCAAAGGGAGGCACACAGTGGGCGCTGAACTGGGTAGCAACCACTGGAAAAGGCTGAGCATTGCATTGAGATGCTGTGCTCAGAAGAGACAGCGTCAAGAAAAGCACAAATCTAGGTAAGCACAAACATCTGGACATGAAATTTGGGAAAGGGCGTAGGCACCATTCTCAGGGATTGGAGGGTAGAACGTTTTAAAAAGTACAATCTTTATTATTGTGTGTGTGTGTGTGTGTGTGTGATAAGTGTGTGGGCGTGCAGGCAGAGATCAGAGAACAGCCCTGTGGAGCAGGCTCTCTGCTTTTGCAAGGATCCTGGGGATTAAACTCAGGTCATCAGGCTTGAGATGCAGGTGACTTTACCTTCTGAGCCGTCTTCAAGGCATCAGCCAATTGTCTGATTTTGTTGTTGTTGTTGTTGTTGTTGTTGTTGTTTTACTAAGCAATAAGTTTTCCCCAAATGTAATTCTTTTGGTAGGAAACCCAGAAAAGCCCTGGTTTGGTCACCCTGCCTGAGTACAAGTGTGAGCATCAGGCTGGTCTGACTGGAAGCCCTCTGCCT